GTGACTTTCTGTTGTAGCAAGAAATAAATCTATAGAGGTAACATTAATTAACTGGGCTCCAGCAAAACATATTCTAACTCGACAGTCAGTGAAGTGGTTATTGGTATTTTGGATAGACATTAACACTTAAGGATAGTTTCATACTTGGGCTATAAAGATACCCTTATGTATACTCTATAGAGTACCTGCTTCCTGCCTCATAGTCATAAAGAAGCAGCATGATGCACTGAGCAGTAGGCAGCCTCCTTGAATAAAGCTTCCTCTGCAACGTACAAGAACATGAAGCTGATTGAGGCAGAAGTAGTTTATTTTAGTGAAATATTTAGCAATTGTTTCATCTTCCCTCTATCTGAAGAATTAGGGGTTCTGGCTAAGCCTGCATCCCATACTAGGGAAGTCAATGTGAAATCCAGATTAAGTACTTGGGCAAAGCCTGCTACCCTGTAGATGGAAAGCAACAGGTTTCTTTGCATATTGCTCATAAAGATCAGCAAAGTGACAGATAACATAATGGTCAGCTTTATTCAAATCAAGGTTAAATGAATCAATGGCCTCATGGCCTGATTGCTGTGGGATCAATTTTGTGTACTGATCTGCAATGGGATACATGCCAGAGGGAGTAGCTGATAGTTTCATGTTGACTGTCTCCATCTAGATGAGACCACTATATTGTTTCTCCTTTACTTCTCTATCTGGTTGTATCAATAACAGATGAGGACTGAATCTATATAATTCTAGGTAATTTAGCTTTCAAGTTTAAAATTTAAAAAAAACCTTCCAATTATGCAAAATAGCCAGTAGGTAGCATAGTGACCACAAGATATTCATGACCCCCTTTGGGATGTATGAAGCATAAGTAACCGACAGGAATGTCTGATCTGTATAATCTTTACTAACACAGGAAAAGAAAAACAATTTGAGACAGCAAAAAAGTACTGTTTAAAATAAGTTTTCAGCATAAGAGTGCAAAAAAGACAACCAAGTGAATACTACATGTCTAAAACCAGAAATAATGATTTTTGCTACTCTGGAATAAAACTCCCATCCACCACAGTTGGATTTTCTAAGGAATTCAACCCACAGATAAGAAACACTTCAAGCTTTTAATTCTGTGGCAAGTTTTTATTTGCATTAGTACATAGTTCAAGCATGTATTACTACTTTTTGCCATATCAGTAGAGAAAAAATGATGTATGACTCCTTTATACATAAGCAGAGGACTGTCACTATGTTTCAGAAATTCAAACAAATTTCTGTAAGTAGTTTTAAATTCTTTTAAGCCTAACCTTTTCCATCTAAGTAATTTTTTGGCTTTAAACTATTAAGATGGAGATTAAACTTTCTAATGTGTATACAGTGAAAAAACACATAATACAATACAGGAAATGAAAATAAAAATAAAACTGTTGAGTCGTTTTTATGTGTCTGGCAAGGTGCTATTAAATAGCTCTGATTCAAAGACAGAAAATGAATTGCTATTTGGAAAATCAAAATGCTGCTATCACTGGAAAACTAAACTGTACTTTTTAGGAAATCCAGTAATTTAATGTACATATTTACCAAAGAAAGGCTATTTATAAGATTGGGATTCTTAAAGATTTATCTGAGAATAAGTAGAAGATGAGAAAAACAGAGAGAAGGGTAGACACAAAGGACATGTGGGAAAAGAGAAGATAAAGAGGTATGAGGAAATATAGAAAATGATAGACAAAAAGCGTAACTAACACAATAGAATGTAACAGTTCAGTTGGAAGGGACATACAATGATTATCTAGTCCAACTGCAATGTTATTACTCTGCCTAGTGCATCCTCTAAATTCTTACATGAAAGAAAGGATTTCACCAAAAGTGGACTTTCCAGATTACCAAAACTTGTAATGATACATTGCTAAACTGGAGTTCAAGAATGGGAAAAAAACACCATACTGCTAGTTTAGTGAAACAGTCGAGATTTTAATTTCCATTTCCTTCTGTCTTTTTGACCTGAGGTGAATGCTGAGGAAGAGAGCATCCCAAGAGAACTCTCTTCACTGTGCTCCCATCACTGCAGTCTGTGGGGTGGCATTTCATGTACAAGCCCCAGAAAAACTGGCAATTATCAACCAAAATGTTCTTGCGTGCTGGACAGCAATTCACTCTGTCCTTTTCTGTCTGCAGTCTGACACTGTAGGTGTAAAAACTCATTAGGCATCTATCAGTTTAGGTCAAACGCATCCCACACACTTGACTTCAGCTCAACTCAGAAATAGTTGTTCTTTTTGACAGGTGATTATCTCTGCCTCTTACTCTCTTACAACTTAAGTTCAGGCAACCAAATTCAGCCCAAGCCCTGCTGCAAAAGATATATGAAACAACTACAGTCATTTGGTGTGTGCACCTTCAACTCAGTGCATAACCTTGTTTTCTGAGTACTCACGCAGAATAGAGGACTATGGATTCTAGTTTACATCTCACTTTAAAAAAACCTGAATTCTCATCTCCAGATTCTGGGTGTAATAAACTCCTCACCTCCCTGGCTATAGTAATAATTTAAACCATTATTTCAGGCAGATTAGCTCATCTCCCCAAAACATGCAGGTGTTTACAGACAAACAACCTCTGCTAAAACAGTCCTTGCAGCAATGACATTCTTACTTCTAAAAGTTCAATAGGAATAATAGTCCAAATAGCTCAGCTTGGCAGGATGAAAGATCTTGGACTTTCAGGCTACAATGCTTTTTAGAAAGGGTTCTCTGTCTTGTTCATTAACATGACATTTCAGAGCTGCTAATAGGCAAAAGCAACAGGGAGGAGACAGAGGAAAGAAGAAGATGCTGAAAGCTGGGTTAACTCACTCCCAATTTCTGAAAAGCTACTAGGAAAGGAGCCTGGTTTTCCCATCTGCTCACCGTTCCTCCAGCTCTCAATGCGGGTGCAATGTGCTGAGCCTTCTGCTCCTTGCTCAGCAGAGCACTTGGTCTCCCTCATACCATGCTAAATAGTCCCACCTACTGCAAATGTCATGGCACTGGATGACAAGGGAAAGGCACCAGACAGGGCTCATGCACATGTCCAGTACGTTGGCAGTGAGGGAAATGTATAAATCTCTGAAGTCAGCCTGTTTAACCATCCTGCAGGCAAGAACTGCACTCACACAGATGACCAGGTAGGTAATCCACTCTATCTAACCCTGCTCAAACCATGTGTGAGCTCCACACATCAGTGCCTGGATAACTTGCAGTAATTTCTTAGGTTAATCTTTGATGTATTGTTAAAAGCAACATCTGTTTCCAAAGAGTGTATGTATGTAACTTCACTGATTTTAGTGGGAGTAAATCAAGCATAAATACTGGATTCTTCACGTTAAATATCTGCAAGAGATCCTTGTTGACTCCTCTTGGAAAAGCTGACTTTCTTTTAACCTTTTAATCCACTTTTTTCTAACAATATTCAACTATATCTGTTGTACAAAATTTTTCACTTGGCCTTAGAAAAGTGTGTCTAATGCTGAAAGACACCTACCCCTGCACTGCTAAAAGACATAATAGACACCGTTCTTGCAGGATAGATACTTAATTACACTTTAGTTATACAACATATACTACAGCAGTTTAGTGAACAGGACTTTATACCAATATGATCCACGTGGTTTTGTTTCTGTTTGAGTATCTGCAACTAGTTAGTACATCTACTCTCTCCTCTCCCCAGCTAAGTGTTTTAATATCAAATGACTGTACCTTTCATGCATATAGTTGACTCCGAGTAACAACTGTATAAACCAGTCTATTATTTGTTTTTGAGTGAATATCTTCCCAGATTCTTTGTACTCTTGAATTTTGAAGTCTAGATCTCCACCCTGAAAAATATCACATTATTTGTATATTTAAAGTAAGTTCATCTCCATCATCAAAGTGCAAGAGTACACTTTCTTAGACCTTCAAGCTTCCTACCATGCAATCTGTAAAATTAATGCTTGCAAACAAATTCTGAACTCCACCAGCACCAAAAGCAGACACAGTCGAGGATCACGAGATCAGGCAGTTTGGCTGCATAGGGAAATTAGGTCAGTTTTCTCTTAGTTTTACACAATCTCATCAAATTTTTCAACTTTTGTCAGTTCATGTCACCCAACTTCAGCCATGTGCATCTGAGCTCATCACCTCAAACTCCCTCTATAATTAACACAAAAGAACAGGCACCTAAATAGTGCTATCATCTCTGTGATCTACCTGTCTGCCTTAGGAAGGTATGGATCATGTTGTAGAAATTCTGTTTCCTTGCAAATAATTATGACAAGGGCCTACTTTGACTGGCTAATATGTAGACATCTAAATCAAGTTAAATGGATCTGCCTTGATGGGTCCAAAGAAGGTTACAAATTTGGGAAAAGCATATCCAGTTAAGTAAAACATTGCACAGGCAAGAGACACTCCCGTTTATTATGCTGAAATAAGCATTTCAGCATCAAAGAAACCATGCTGTTCTCTAAAGAACTAAAACACAGCCTCTTTAATTATGATACTTTGTCCTTCTTCCAAACTCATTTTTGCCAGAAATAAGGCAGAAATGAAGCTTCAAGAATCCGTAGCATATGTTACTGTAAATGCTTCATTAAAATTACAATTGATCTTGAAGTGACACTAGAAATGGAGCAATATGACACACAGTATGAAGTGAAAGTAAACCAGAAAATATACACAGAAAAACACCACTTGAAAACTTGAAAAGCCAGACATTTATAAAAATCAGTTGAACAACAACACGATGGAAGACGTTTCTGAGGAGACTTATATGAAAACTGTTCATTTTGCTAAAAAAATAATAATAAAAAAAAAAATAGATGGAAGGTTGTCAGCTATTTGTTTTTCCAGTTTATAAAATACATTGATTTTGTCCACAAGAATGAGCATTAGTGGCAAGCACTATGTTGAGGTAACTAATCCCAGAGCAAAGGAACCGTCTCACGGTGCTGTACGAACTAAGTAACTTACTCTCCAAAAAAGATTACTTTTGAATTACACATTTTGTAAAAAATCAGAAGTTTCATGTACCATATACAAGAAAATATTTCAACCCATACAAATGTACCTGTAACACCATTTCCCATCATCAGCCCTTCCCTTCTCTGCACTGTTGACTCTCTACATTTTGTGATCTCTTCAGCACTTCATGTTTTTTCTGTTTTAAATACCACAGTGCTTCATGCTGCTGCTACCAAATAAGCAGATTCTGCCCTTGAAAATCCATATGTTTTTGCTCTGTCCTTTGACATAAACTCACAGTTTTTGTCTGTGGTTCCTGAGGTTTAAGTTAAAACATTCAAAAGTGAGCGTGTCAAAAGAAAAAAGGAAAACAACAACAACAAAAAACCTGAAAAAACATATTTTGTCATATATGAAAGAAGTGTTCTTTGACAATGCCCCACAATGTTTAATTGAAATGTCTGAATCATCTCATTCGCTAGGGAAGGGAATATGGCTTCAACTCTCCATCTGCCTCCCTGCTGCAGCTGAGAGAGAAGCTCTTCTGGGAACTTGGAGCTCCCAGCAGCTGCTCCCCCTTTGCAACTCCAAATGTTCAACAGCTTCCCCTTGGTTGCTTGCAGCAGAGCAGAGGAAGGAAAGAAGAAGTATTGCTGGGTACTCTGCTGCATTGACAACCACATGGGCTGTGTCTGACACTACACACACACCTTGAAAATAACGACTCACCTATTCCAGACAACTGCCTCAGTCCATCCAGAGTCAACTGTAGCAGTAGCCCAAGACTCAGGGGCTGTTCAAATAATCAGCTAGTCATTGGTCACAAAGGACTATGTACTTACAGCAGGCTTCAAACACTGTTTCTTCCTGTCCCAATGTGTCCTCTATTAGAATCATACATTGCCATGGAAAATGGAAAGAAAATAAATGTAGGACCTGCAGGCTGGTGAGTACTCTGTTAAGATGGGGGATATTTCTTTCAAAAGGTCTAAGGAGAACAAAACCAGCTGAATAAAGTACTATATGTGCCCTCAAGTAACTATGGATTGTTAATTCCAAGCAGAGAAGACTGGTCTCGAAGTCCTACAATTAATTTCATCTTGATTTTGTATCTATAGAAAGAAAACAAAAATGCATCATAAAAGATTTGCTGAAATAGAGCTGCCATGAAACTCTGAAGAAGTTTGTTAAACCCATTTTGCATTTTGGAAAGTCAGTATAATAAAGTTCATAAGGAATTTAACAAATTAAGTACATAGGGAGTTTCCAAGCTGCAGTTTCTGTATAAATGTCAAGAATATCAAACATACCAGTATTTGGTTTATGATGCAATTTTTAAAGTAACTACTCATAAAAACTGTATTTTATTGAAGTCAAATTTATGCTACGAAATTAAATCCGAGGTTGATAAACTCATTTTTTGTTTGAAATCCGCCTTATCTGACAATGTTTCTATTGCCTGCAAGACTGATTCAGGAAAATTGCTGAAGAAGCTCAGCAAGAAGATCAAAACAGAACACATACGTTTCTCTTCTTTAATTTTGAGTGAATTCAGTTATAATAAAAGACACTGAGCTGAACAACAGAGACCAATGTTCTCATTTGTTCCAGGACAGGTGTAGCACAAAGCAGCTGCACTGGAGACTCACTCTACACTCCTCATGCAAGAACGAACAAAGTACTGTGGCTAATGAATAAGTCACAGCACTTTGGAGAAAACACAATAAGGTTCAGAGGGTTGCTCTGTTTCCATGACAACTTAATGTTTATTCTTTGTTTTGAGTCTGCCCAAGAGCACCAGTTACTGCAAATCTGATAATTATTCTATCCATGAGAAACTGAATGTACTAGACTTCCAAATAGGTAGCATTACATTTTTCTCCTCAGTTTATGTGCAATTTAAACAGGCATCTTTTAGGTAAAAAGATCCAAATCCCACCACATTATAGATAAGTATATCACTATAGAAAAGTAAATATGAAAGTACACCTTCTGGGAATACTCCCATTAAAATAGAAAAGGATTTTTATAGCACTACGCAAAACCTTGCTGTGTACTTTCCTTGTTTGAACACTTGATTAAACACATCGTAATCGCTTAAATGCAATGATACTACACAGTATATCCTTTTTGGAAAGAGTCAGAAGCACATCCTAGTGGACTCACTGTCATTCTAGCATGACCCAACAGACTCAAACCTGAAAAGATTCAGCTGCAGAACCAACACAACCTTCACTTGCCTTGCTGTAATACATGATCATGTGTTTGACATATGGCTTCTGGATCCTAGGGTAACTGAAATGAAATGTTTTCATGCAGGATAGTTTACTCTGCCTGGACAAAAAAAAATTCCTAGGGGTGCAGCAGCAGCTTGTGATTATGAGGGTGATTGCTATCATGCTCTTTTTTATTCACCCATAAGTTTATTCCAGATGAAGGAAAACAAAAGCAGAAAAAAAAAAAAAAAAAAGCAGTGGACCAAAGACTCTAGTCCTGGTCTAGAATGCTGCTGAAAGAGGCTCCTTTACTCTTGATACAGGTATCACTGATCTGGCATTTACCACTGAGAGAGAATATTAATCTTAGTGCACAGGAATATCTGGGTGGTTAGAATAATCCTTCAGTTCTGCGCTCCAGATTTCCATAGAGAGTTGGCAATACCAAATTTCCATCAAGCCCCAGCTGTCAGACATTCAGGGAATGACGCAAAGAGCTTCTGCATGGGTGTTAAAATAACAAGTGAACAAATATTCAGATTGCATAACAGAATTGAATATGGCAGATTTAAATTTAAAAAATCCCAGCAATAAATAGACATTGAGCTGTCATCAAAGAAAGCTTCTAAGGAGGCAATAACTGACAGAAATAGTACTTCTTAAATTATACACACCAAAGCTGAATGCTTGAAGAAATGTCATTAGTTAATACAGGTCTGATTGGTGGACAGGTAACCCAATAGTCCGGGTTCCAAAACATTTCAAATGCCTAGCAGAGCACAACTGAAAAATCTGCTTCACAGCTTCATGAGAAAATTGTATTTTTTAAAACAGCACATCTATATTTGATACAAAGTGGGCACTTGTTTTATATAAACTCTTAAAAAGCTGGCTTAAATATGTATAAATTTTTATTTTAATCTTTAAAACAGATTTCATCAATATGTATTTAAACCAAATGTTGGAATGAAAATAAATGGTAGCTATACTCCAGTATATCCTCCTTTAATAGTTTTTTTATCCTCTACACTGCGGTCTTTGACTCACATTGTTCTCCACTTCATAAAGCCAGTGATGCTACCAAACTCATCATCCATGTGATCAGGCTCAAGCTTCTTGTAACCACCTTCAAATCACAAGAGGGTTTTCCCCTCCTCATTTACATCAGATTTCATACTGTGACCATGTACCTCATTTCATCCTCATTTCCCCATCAGTAGTACATATGTAGTAAAACCTTTCTGAGTTCACCCACAGATCTGGTAATGTGTCTAAGTCTTTCTTGTAATACTGATTATAGTGAATGAAATGAAAATGTGTTTAATTTTCCTCTTTGGTTAGTTTGTGTATAAGCTACAAGCCTCACATGAGCAGGTAACACTCTTATTTGAAATATGTCTAACCAGCAGTAGGAGTTCCCACAAGTAAGAAATAAGAGTAAAAATCAAACTAAAACATTAAATAAAACTGGACTAGCTTTCTTTTAAGACCTTATTTTAATGCACAAATTCTGTCAAGTTTCTTCAAAGTAATCTACAAGTCTCACCTCGCAGTATTCAGTGATAATGCAGAAACTATCTCGCTCCACAAAGCTTGCATAAAATTTGACAATGGCTGGATGGTCTAATTTGGAGAGTAGTTGTGCTTCCAGATTTGCTTCAACTGTTTCATTAGGCTTTAGGTCTCCAACAGAGATTTCCTTCAGAACCTTTCTAAAGGAAAACAATAAATCTTTCTATTAATAGAAATAGAAAATCACATAATGTTTAAAAACCCATCATAATTTTTTAATGCAAAATAATAATATTAACCAAGTATTTGGCAACATGAAATGATTAGGCAAATATGGGTAAACAAAGAGAATGCATTAAGTACAAATAAACATGCCAGTTACTATACCAATTAAGCAACATTTTAAAAATATTCTTTTGAAGTATTTTTCCCACTAACTCCCTACTGCACTGTTTTCTTCATGACATGTTTTCAGTGCTACAGACTAGTGCATAATAATAATAAACATAAATAAAAAATCAAATCTAAGTTATTTCAAACCCACTCAGAGCATATGCTCAAGATTCATACACAAAATGTGGAGCAGCAAGAAACTAGTTTTGCTGCTTCTGCCGAAGTCTCTCCATGGAGGCATGAGAAGAATCACACAAATTATAGTATTTCTGTGACAATTTTTTTCTAAAAATCACCTCCCTTCACCTGAACCTCCAAGCAGAGAGTGTAAATCCGAATTTGTGGCTGAAACCCAAATCTACTGTTTCAAAGAACTCTGAATTTGTTTTGGGAGGCCCTAAAGCTGAAAAATTCAGGGCATTTTTCATATTCTTGAACATGAAGGTGCAAACGTGCCATAGCAGAATTTGTGATTCAGACTTAGCTCTACATGGTACCTGCAGTTGCAGAGCTTGGAGTCAACTTGTCCTGGAAAAAACACAGCAGGGCACTACAAGGAAGGACACTTTGCAGGGATCTTCCTGACAAAATGTTTCCAAAAGGCATACATCACACAAAGGAATGTCATTTCCATCTACTTTACCAGCTGCTGAAGAATGGATCATTGGTCTATGTCTGAAGGAGCCGTCTGAGGCTATTAGAGAATATCATGGTATTTTACTGAAACACTGATGAATACCCAACAACTTTTGGATACATGGAAGGTTAGTTCCACACTGAAGGGATGTATTCTCAGTTCTTTTATTAATTTCCCATTCAATACTGCACGGTTGCAAAGTCACAGTAGTTAAACCACAACAGCGATAAAACCACAGTAATTACCACAGTAATTCAATTGATCTAAGGAAAAATACCTGTATTTCTTCATAAGAAAATTTCTCCCTAAAGCTCAGCCATCAGCTTCTGGCTAACAATGCATGAATTTTTACACAGATGTACCTAATCCCCATTTGACAATGTGATGAAAATAACACGCCATTTGATTTGTCTCTATCTCTACAGAGAAGCTTTGTGCTATGAAGACCTACTGCAATCTTCTCCTCGGTTGACATGGGAACATTATTCCTTCCTTCACATAGATCATGTCACAGAACTGACAAATAGAATGAGTCCTTGTTAAACACCACTTAAAACAAGTTTCTTGTATACCCACGACAGTAATAAAAGCCTGATGTGTTGATGTGCAGAGATAGCTTGTCATCTTAGTCACTCAGTGATTTTGATGCTGTCATCAGCTGTCAGGCAACAAGACAGGTATTTTTCTAATTTAAATTCATTCCCAGAAAAACAAATCAGGAAAATATACTTCTGTAAATAAGGTATTGGCTTTCTGCAACACAATGCTAACTCATATCCAGAAATGCAAGTAATTTGCATCTATAAAGAAAACTTCAGCCAATGCAATCAAGATTAAGCATATCTGCTGCCACTAATATATGTGTGGACTGTTCCTGTCTGCAGGTAAGATTTGATTTTACTGAGTTTAAGATGACAACTGGACTTCATACTTTCTGCAAAGCTTTTCACAGAATCACAGAATACAATACCCAATATGTCTGTTGCTGATACCTACTTTAATAAATGCACTAAAAACTAAACCCACAAATTTAAAAAACGCTACACTGATTAAGTATTGTCAAATAAGTTGTATCAGAGTTGCAGAACTCTCACAGAGAACAAAAAGAACAGTCTTCAGATATAAAGTGGCTCTTTCCTGATAACTTTAAGAGAAAATAATGAACCCAAAAGTCTTCAGTCAGAATTCCATCTATGTAAATCAACTATAATTTTCAATATATAAAGCACTTAAATTTACTCTACCCCACATCAGTATTGCACAGGTAACTTCTACCCTAATAGGCAGATAAAATGGGCACTTTCCATGATTTAGAGGACTCCTAAGACAACTTAAATTTGGGATCCCTGGTGATGTCAAATATGCTGATAGATCCATAAGCTGACAGTCTTTCTTTGAAAAAAAGGTCAGTAATCATAAGAAAACAACAAACTTCTCTTAGCTGAACAATCCTGACTACATTCCCCTCTACCAAGGGAATCCAGCACTACACTTCAAAGGCAACAAAGTGTTTCTGTTCATATGACGTAACCTGCATCTTAAGCTTGGCTTATAATAAAGAACAAGTCACTGCTTATAATTCAGTCATTGTACTTGTGTATCATCTGCTGAAAATCTGCATGCATTGAACAGTTTAGAAACATGTAGTTAGGGAACACAAAAAGATTTTAAACAAAACTTTTGCAGCATGTGACACAAATGTCTAGTATGGATATTGGGAATAATAGACTCTACGGTTCAGTTTTTGTCAAGAATTCATCTGGAGTATATAGGTTCATCTGAAAAAAACCAAACCAAACCAAAAAAAACAACCTGCCCCTGTATTTTCTGCCACTTAGGCTTAAGTATCAAGCAGGATTTAAAAGGTCCAAAACTATTTACATTAACTAAGAAATCATAGATTTAGATGGCATATACAGAAAACAGTTAAAATTACTAACATGGAGATGGTCTCCAAATGCAATACTTAAAACTACTCCTTTCTGTATAATGTTATGGGGGGGG